CCACCTTCCTCTTTTATCCTGTCCAATAAAATAAAGTTCTTTGGGGATTTTTTAATGCCCAAAGTTATTTGGGACGAGGAGACAATTTATGGCACTGTTGTTTGATATTCTGAACCTTTCATTCAGAGTTCAAATAATCTTTCCTTTGCTGGGGACGAAATCCCCTCTGGTCTCCAGGAAGTGTGCCGGGACACTAGAGAATAAAAGAAAAAGAGAATGAAACTTGGAGGGAAAAGGAGAGACCACAAAGCCTGTAAACGTACATACACATATTTACTAGATTTCTGAGCAGTGTGGTTTGGCTGAAAACCCTGTGTTCAATCTCTGCTGTTCAAAGTCAGTAGGTGGGGCTAAGAGCGTTCCGGCCTCATCTCCTCACCCGCGTGGAAGTTAATTGTTAAACAGGAATCCCAGACACAATGGTTTGCTTCCACTCTGGTGGAGAATTAAGATGGAAACATCTCATTGATCCTGTGTCTACAGAGAGCAAAGGTTACAAAGCAAGGATTTTGGCCTTAAGTAAAAAATGTAACAACAACAACAAATCCTTTTCTAATAATTTGATATGACTGAACTCTGGGATGTTATGACATCGGTAATAGCTCTCAATAGAATGATTAAATAAATAAAGTCTTCCAGAATAGAGCGGACCAATTACCAAAGCTTTGAAACCCCGTGCATAAAAGTATGTTAAGGAGCTTCCCAGTACTCTAGCATCTGTTCAAAATACAATTCTGGACTAACCGAGAGCCCTAAACCAGGAAAAACACAGAAATAGTTGCTGTGAGGTCAAGTTTCATTCATGGGGACACCAGGAGGGTCAAAGCAGAATTGCATCCCTTCAAGTTCAATGGTTGATTTTTCTTCTGAGAGGCCTCTGGGTGGCCTTAAACATCAGCCTTTTAGCTCACTGAAGAACCTGTTCATCCAGTGGTTCTCCGCCTTCCTCATGCCGCGACCCTTTAATACAGTTCCTCATGCTGTGGTGACCCCCAACCAGAAAGTTATTTTCATTGCTACTTCATCACTGACCTCTGTGAAAGGGTTGTTTGACTCCCAAAGGGGTCACGACCCACAGGTCAAGAACCGCTGTACTATTTGCACCACCCAGGAACTCTCGGTCTCTTAGAGAGTGCTGTCTGACTAAACTTTCTATGGCAATAGGAATATCCTCTGGCTGTGCTCCAATATCGGAACCACTAGTTACATGTGACTATTTGGCAACCAATATGAGGTTAGTGAGATGGAAGCACTGAATGTTAAAAGTCATTTATTTTTAACTAATTTAAATTTAGATCGGCATATGTGGATAGTGATTATCATATTCCATACACTGCTCAGGAGTCATTACCAGCTCTCAAATGAAATTATATATAAATAATTTAAATTATTCTATTGGGGGCACTTACAGCTCTTATCACAATCCATCCATCCATTGTGTCAAGCACATCTGTACATATGTTGCCATCATCATTTTCAGAACATTTTCTTTCTACTTGAGCCCTTGGTATCAGCTCCTCATTTTTCCCCCTGAAATATTTTTGCACTCCCCTCATCATCATCTATCATGCTGTCATCCCAAACATGCCCTGTCTGGGCCACTGGACATAGAATGGCTCCATTTAGGGCAGTGGTTCTCAACCTGTGGGTCGCGACCCCCTTGGGGGTGGAACACCCCCTTTCACAGGGGTTGCCTGATTCCTAACAGTAGCAAAATTACAGTGATGAAGTAGCAATGAAAATAATTTTATGGTTGGGGGTTCCCATAACATGAGGAAATGTAGTAAAGGATCCCGGTGGCATTGGGAAGGTGGAGAACCACTGGCTTAGGGTTGGCCTTGCATTGGAGGCAAGTACCTCCTGGGAGAGGAGGAGAATCCATGTGCAACGCTGGATGAAACAGGAGTCAGACAAGATAGCAAATAAACCATTGCCACACTGTAGAGTGGACAGAGCCGGAGCATCTACAGTAGAAGCAGCATAGAAACATGGAATCACTGATCCTGCCTTCCTCCTCTTACAGGAGGTGTGCATGGGGTTGGGGACGGCTGAGGAAGAGGAGTTCTGAACCCAGTGGTCCCACCTTAGTGCTGCTGTGCTGAGTCCTGGAATCGTCCTTCAGCACATATTCAATCGTCTGCCCCCCCCACCCTGTGTGCTTCAGAAGTGACGAGTGATAGCACAATGCGATAAAGAATATTCAGTCTTCCTGTTCGTGCTTCAGAAAGAGGAAGCTGTTTGACTTAGAATTTATCATTTTCGATCAGAAGGAGGCTCGCAGAGACGATATAAGCTAGTCCTCATAATTTTTAAATTATGAATCATTTTTTTGGCTCTGACAGCTCTTATAACAATCCATACATCAATTGTATCAAGCACATTTGTACATAAGTTGACCTCATATTTTTCAGAGAAGAAATGGAAGCCTGCAGCTCAGAAAAGACTCATGATTTGGCAGGATCACATAGCTCTTTGAGAGTAGAAAAGGGTCATTTGAGTAAATGCATCAGTCTGGAGTAGATAGCCAATGGCCACCCACCTGAAATGTAACAAGGTAACTTTTTTCTTAAATGCTAAACCCAGAAGAGTGCCACCCAGCAGCCTTTGCATGCAATGCTTCAAACCTTTCCCAGGTTCGTAAAGGGTGTGCCAGAGGCTTTATTGAAAACCTGGTTTGCAAACTGGACTGAACTACTTGAGCTTACCTCAGCTAGGGCTGTGTCTCTCCAGACGTGGTCCAGAGAAAAACTTCAACGCGCTCACCGTCTGCACTGGCCCACGTCCCCTCCAGTGAGGCTCTCCGCAGCAGTTCCCAAGACGGCCTTCTTCCCCGCTCAGAGTTCACTGAGCATCCTTATAAGTCCCCTGGATAATGGCAAAACCTAAACAACTCTATTTTCTATTTGTCTTCTTGAAAAACTGTAATTCGCCCACATGAAACTAGCTGGCTTGCCACAAATGCTGAAGGTTTCTAGGTACTTTCTGAGTTTGCTCTGACTCATGTCTTACCTACATAGTTACCCTCAATAAAAAAAATAAAAAAAAAAAAACACCCCAAAACTTAATGCAGAGAACTTAGGGCTCTTTTCCAATGTGAACTCTTTCTTTGCACAGCCACCTCTCGGCTCCATGACCACTCAAATCTCTTTATTTTCCTTAAATGGGTACACAATTCAGATAGTTAACACATTTGAAAGAAGACTTTTTGTGTGGAGTATTTAGACTTTAGAATTTGAGCAAATTAAGAAAAGATATTGTCCTACCAGTGCTAGGATCTAATTGGATTTTCTTTTTCTCAGAGTGACTCGTACATTTTAAACATGGCTCATGCTCATGCAGAAACCTCAATTCTTTCCCTACTGGGTGTTGGGGTTACTCATCGAGGCCCTAACCACAAGGTCAGCAGTTCAAAACCACCAGCAGCTCGGAGGGAGAAAGATGGGGCTTTTGACTCCCATCCGGAGTTCAGGCTTGGAAACCCAGCAGGGCAGTTCCGCCCGATCATGATGAGTCAGAATTAACTGAGGGGAATGAGCTTGTTTGTTAGGAATGTTTCGGCGGCACAGTGGTCACAAACTGGGCTCCTAACTGCAATTAAAACCCAGTTTTGAAATAAAAAAGCAGTTAAAAACGCCTAGTTGCTCCGCTGGAGAAAGTGAGCCTTTCTCCTATAAAGCATCCCAGTCTCTGACGCCCACTGGGCACCTCTGCCCCTTCCTGTACGGGAGCATCGAGGCAGAATTCACTTGAGGGCAGCGAGTGAGCAGCCTGGGCGTGAAGTCGCGTTTTTTTCTCCCTTCTAGCTATCAAACTGGAGGCAGTGCGGGGCATAAATCACATGCCTGGTGCTTACCGAAAAGTTGGAGGTTTGAGGGCACCCAGAGGAGCCACAGGGAAAACCAAAAAAACTCAGGGATTTACCTGAGAACAAAACATTCATGAAAAGTCATATTTCACACAGGTGGGGTTTCTGGGAGTGGGAATCCACGTGAAGACACCCAGCACGCTGCGCTCCTACACCTGCCGGGACCTCTGTCGTTGGCTCCATGGCCTGGCTTGGGGTGCCTCTGAGTTGGTTTTGACTCACGAATGTCCTACGTACAATGGAACAAAGCACCACCCGCACCATTGTTCCTGTGTGGGAGCCAGCGCTGCAGCCACCGTGTCAGTCTGCCTCACTGAAGGTCTTCCTCTTTTTGGTTGACCCTCTACTTCATCCAGCCTGATGTCATCCTCCAGAGACTAGTCCCTCCGGATCCGTGAGATGATGTCTCACCATCCTCGATTCTAAGGAGTATTCTGGTTGCGTTTGTTCCAAGACAATTGATTGTTCTTCTATCTGCCCATGGTAGATTTAATCTTCTTTGTCAAGATCACAATTCGCATGCATCAGTTCTGCTCCTGTCTTCCTTATTTTTGCTCAACTTTGGCATGTGTGTGAGATCATTAAAGACATCACACCTCACCTACGACCCTCCAATGTCCTGGCTTATTGTCCTCTGGAGGTATTCCTTGCGTGGCATTCACCCTTATTATTCAGAACCGCCACCTCCTCCAAGAACAGGTTTCAAATGGCTTCTCTCCTTTTAACCGCGTCTCTTCTAGAAATCGTCTTACCTCACCCCCTCCACAGCATGTATTCCATCACCTGGTCCTCTGGGATTCGCTCCCCAACTCTCGGTATTTTTGTGTGAAGAGTAGGAAACCTTGAAGCTAGGAAAGGAGAGGAAGTTACTATGCACATGAGATCTGGCTTTTACTGCCTTAATTTTTCAGAGAGGCTGATTGATCCAAGATCACACAGGATTTGAAGCCATATCTCCAAGACCATGTCTTTTTACATTACACTCCATTGCCTTTTAGTTTCACATCAGCATCTTACTAAACGTGAGACAATTTTATGTAGTATTACATAACAGATGCAGAAAAGTTATAACTGCATTAGAGGGCTCTATATATGTCTAGTGGTAAACAGTATAACTATTTTAATTTTTTTTAATCAGGGGAGAGTGCGAATGCAGTCCCCCACTACCACAAGTTATGCACTCAAGTTTCCCACATTCGGGGAAATCATGGGGGTCAGCACATCCTGTATGCAATGGATAAGCCACGCTCTGGGGAAACCACTTTGTGATCATGGTCTCTCCCCTGCCAGCTAACTATTAAACATTCTAACTGTTACTGGCTTAGATTACTTATTACTAAGCATAAGCTGACTTATTTGTTTTACAAATATTCACTAATGGAGATAGCAGGCCATAGACTGCAGGCCCGTATTTCTGACGCTCTGCAGTTAGATGAATGGGATAGAAGAAAAGCAGACAGTGACGGGGCTAGAAGTGATAGCAACAGCTTGGTCTGAGGTTCATGGCTTGGCGGAGTGCTGTGATCAGAGGTACTCTTTTTGAGCCGTGTTGTAAGAAAGAAATAACTATGACTGCATTCAAAGGCTGAGGTTTGGAACAATATTTATGATATCTAATAGGAGTTCATTCCTTAATTCTTACAACCTCCTTACACAATACATATGATCTGTATTTTTAAAATGGAGTATCAAGAAAAGAATGTTTAGAAACGGATTGTGCTAGCAATTGTACAATTCTACTTGACATCATTGAATTATGGAATGATATGTGGATCAAATTCCAACTAATAAAAAAATGGGATATCACGAATAAAAGTGGTTACGTAGCCCCAAACCACACCAAACTCATAGCAGCCGGATAAGGCAGACGAGAATTCCTCCTGTGGGCTTCCCCGGCTGCCCATCCTTAAGAAGCAGAAAACCTCTTCTTCTCCCGTGGAACGGCTGGTGGTTGAACTGCTGACGTGGCAGTTAGCGACCCAAGGAGCAACGAATTATGCCCCAGGGCTTCTGGTTACACAGTTAGCATGAGCAAAAGCCAAGCTTTGAAGCTAGTTCTACTTTTGCATGCCTTCCTTTCACAGATTCGAACCAATTTTTACACAATGCCAACATTCCTCAGATCCCGGCACTGCCAACAGGTGGCACTAGTGGACACCTCTAGACAAGCTCTTTACAGATGGATTGAAGAATATTATAAAACATAACCTCTACACGCGAATTCGTAACCTCTCTGTTCATAAGAGTTCTTGAGTAGTGAAAATGGTACATGTGCTTGGCTGCTAACCCAAAGGTGGGGGTTTTAGTCCACCCAGAAGAACCTCAGAAGAAAGGGCCGGTGATCTACCAGCCACTGAAAGCATACAGGGCGCAGTTCTTCTCTACCCCGCATGGTGTTTCCCTGAGTTCAAATGACTCTGCAGCGAATGGTTTGGTTGATGTGCTTCGAGGTGGTCCTGAATGGTCAGCTGCCTTTGTTCTAATGATGGATAATTTTACCTTCTTCAGGACTATTATTGCAACTTATTCAAACTTCTAAGTTTTCTGAAATTGGGGTGCCAGCCTAGCATAATTTGATGATCCTCCAGAATCCATTGTGCTAAAGGTAACATTTCATTATGTTCATGTGAGAAAATGCCTACATCCACATCTGGATCCCTGTTGAGAAATGTTAGACATGCAAATTACACGGCTCATTCCATCTCCCTAGGAGAGAGTATAAATAATATAGAACCACTGCAAGCTATCATTTGTGATTCCTCTCAACAATGGATGAACTGAGGTACAAACGATTGCCAAACTTAAACTCTTTTTAAAAAATGATCTGTATTTCTAAAACCTCCAAGGATCACATTTCTTATCAACTGGCTAATAAACCCTACCATAAAGGGAAAAGGCAAGAGCGCGCTGTGGGAGGCCTACCAGATTGCAATAGAACTGCAGAACTGCAATAGACAGTGTGACAACCACTCACCCCATGTGGCTCTCTACATTTAAATTTAATCAATTAGAATGAAATCAATTGAAAATGACATTCCAAGTGTCCATCAACGACATAGGGGGAGCGTCTACCCTCCTGGACAGTGCAGAGAGAGGACATTTCTAGCATTACAGGAAGTTCTACTGGACAGTGCTTCTCTAGAACTTCACAGAAAGTCCCTGGGGACTGGGGCAAGGGAACTTTCCAAGGCCGGGCCTTGTGGCTAAATACCTTCCTTCTTCAATATTCATTTATTCAAAAACTGTTAAAGGCCAAAGGCATGACAAGTTACACCATCTTGGAGTGTTTTTCGGTGGTGGTGTGTTAAGTGTTGCCAAGTCAGTTCAGATTCCTAGTGATCCGGTGTATCAGAGACTACCATACTACCCGGCTCCGTGCCATTCTCACCATTGTTGCTTTGTTTGATCCTGCTCTTATAGCCACTGTGTTAACTTATCCTCTTTCGGGCCTTCCTCTTCTTTATCTGACAGGATGTCTTTTTCAGGGTCTGGTCTCTCCTGAAAACATGTTCAAGGTACTGAGCATTTCGTATGCTAGGCGCAGGGCACGATGCTAAGTCCTTTGCACACATCATTCATGCGATTCACACACTCTGTAAGACAGACATTGTTAACACTCCTAACTGCCCTCCTCCCTTTTAGGATGAGAAAACAGGCACAGAGGTAGAGTAACATTCCTGAAATCTCACCGCTTGGAAGTGGTTGAGCTGGGGCCAAATTCAATTTCTATTTAGCTCAAATGCTTCTGCGCTTAACCATTACCCTCTACTGACTTTTCCTGACCATGTCTTTCCAAGGTCCACGTGGGAACTGTGGAGATATGCAAAGGTATGAAAGAGCAACAATCTCAAAACATTTCAATCTAGTGAGGGAAACAAATGACTATAAATATAGAGAACTATATCATCAGGACAAGATGTGTTAAATAAGAATGATAAAAATATCATAGAAGAAATATAGTGGATTAGAGATCTGAAAATCAGCTAAGATGTCAGTAGGTCATGCAGGGTGTAGGTGGTTAATAGAGAGGGTAAATTAGGAAAAAATGTGAAAAAAAGAGCAGTTTCTTCTTATTATTCAGGGACTATTTGTAGTTAGGGAGAAGAAAAAGGAAGTGTTGTTGCCAGCCTCTAAAATGCCCCCCAGTGGTTCTCAGTTGGTATTCCTGTCTTGGTAAAATTTCCTCCTACTTTGGAGCTTCCTATGTGATTGACAGGTGAGGGGAAATGATGCTGTTGACTTCCAGCATGAAGGACTTTGCAGCTTCTGCCTTGCTTTCTTGGATTGTTCACTCCGGGTAAAACTGGGTACCATGTATGGACACTCAAGACGTCTTGGGAAAAAGCTCATATGGGGATGAAACTATGAGACATAATAAATGTTGATTGTTGTTTTAAGTTTATGATACAACAATAGTTACCTAATAAAAAAGCATCAGACTAACTTGTGATTGTAAGCTTAGGTGACCAATTCCTAAAACAAGCGAATTACTTGCCATCAAGTCAAGTCTGATGAAGGTTGACCCTCTAGCAGAGTAGACCTGCCTCTGGGGGGATTTGTGGCCACGGGTTTTTATGAGCAGAAAGTGGTGGAGCCACTTGTGTGTTTGAACTGCAGTCCGATACGTAGCCTATGACACACAAGGAGCTCCTTGACTGGCAGGACCAATCCCTCATCTTCCTTCCTTTAGAAACTTCATCCACATAATCAAGACATGCTGTGATCCAGTCCCACACGGACTCCCATCAAGGGAACAATGCCACTGTTTGAACCTTTATTACAGTTGCTAGGTGCTGGCCGGTCGGTTCTGATTCATAGTGACCCTGTGAACAACAGCACAGAATGCACCTTGGTCCTGCACCGTCCTCACAATGGTTCTTAGGTTTGAGGCCAGGGTGGCAGCCCCTGTGTCAAGACATCTTGTCAAAGGTCTTCCTCTTTTTTTGCTGCCCCTCTACTGTACCAAACATGACGTCCTTTTCCAGGGACTTATCTCTCCTGATAACATGTCCAAAGTAAGTGAGACCGAGGTTTGCTATCCTGGTTGTACTTCTGCCAAAGGAGCAATTTTGTTGTACTTCTTCTGGTTGTATTCTGGTTGTACTTCTCCCAAAACAGATTCGATTGTTCTTTTGGCAATCCATACTACTTTCAATATTCTTTGCCAGCACCATAATTCAAATACATCGATTCTTCTTTGGTCAGCCTTATTCAATGTTAAACTTTCCCATGCATATAAGTCAACGGAAAATATCATGGATTGAGTCAGGTGCATCTTAGTAACATCCTTTTCAACACTTTAAAGAGGTCTTAGGGTGCAGATTTACCCAAGGACATGCATCATTTCATCTCTCTTGACTGCTGGGTCTGTGAACATTGATTGTGGATCCAAGCAAGATGAAATCCTTGACAGCTTCGATCATTTTCCCCTTTCTCATGATGTTACCTATTGGTTCAGTTATGAGGATCAGGGGCTTCTTTAAGTCTATAAAGTTACAATCTATACTGAAGTCTTCCAGCCTTGATTTTCATCAGCAAATGTTTCAAGTCCTCCTCACTTTCAGCAAGCAAGGTTGTGTCATCTGCATATCAAAGGTTTCTAATAAGCCTTCCTCCAATCCCAAAACTACATTTTTATTCAAATAAGCCTGTTTCACTGATGATTTGCTCAGCAAATTTTAAGAGAATTTTTGGAGACCCAAAGCCCAACTGTAGATAATTGGACATCCCCTTACAGAAGGGTCACACGGAAGAGACGAACCAATCAGGATGAAGTATAGCACTGATGAAACAGACAACTTTCCTCTAGTTCTTTAATGCTTCCTCCCCACCACTCCCATGATCCCAATTCTACCTTACAAATCCGGCTAGACCAGAGCATGTACACGGGTACAGATAGGAACTGGAAACACAGGGAATCCAGGACAGATAAACCCTTCAGGACCAATAATGAAAGTAGTGATACCAGGAGGGGAAGGGGGAGGTGGGAGGAGAAAGAGGGAACCAATCACAATGATATATATATATATAACCTCCTCCCAGGGGGATGGACAACAGAAAAGTGGGTGAAGGGAGACATTGGTCATTGTAAGACATGAAAATATGATAATCATTTATAAATTATCAACGGTTCATGAGGAAGGGAGGGTGGGAGAGGGAGGGAAATGAATGAGGAACCGATACCAAGGGTTCAAGTAGAAAGAAAATGTTTTGAAAATGATGACGGCAACAAATGTACAAATGTGCTTGACACAATGGATGGATGTATGGATTGTGCTAAGAGCTATAAGAGCCCCCA